CAGGATGCAAGCAGGGTGGGATGGTATTTGTAGATGGTAGGAAGTGGTAAGAATGGTGGTGATGTCCGTTCCTCCAAGGTGTGCCACTGGGAACTGCTCACTCTGTGGGCTGAGCTGATCGCAGACATTCGAATGCAGGCGGCAGGCCCCCGTGACAGGCCGGCCTGCGAATACCCCCGTCACATCAAAAAATCTAACGTCACTTAAAGATCTCGATGTAATGCTACGGCGTCCGCGGGAGCCGACGCGCACCCTCAAGGCCCTGTGAGCGTGAAAAGTGGTCTCCGGTGCAAGGACGGCATCGGGGGCAACTAGGCCAGTCCGAAAGTCCCGCGACGTAAGGAAGACTCGCATTGCGACGTTCTATGTTGCCACGTTAACGGGGTGCTCGTATGAGTTAGCAGAAGCTCTATATAGAGTGTCGAAGAATTAATTTCTGTGCCGTGCAGGGAACGAGGGGGTCCGTGGTCCCAAAACCGCCAACGGAGTTGGCATAATTGTCTCTGAAAGGTTCCGTGATTCGATAGTGGGCGTGGAGCGCTTCGATGATCGCTTAATGAAGATTATTGTAGTCATCGAACACCGAAAATACCATTTTTTCTCAGCGTATGCTCCACAGACTGGATGCTCCGACCAAACCAAGGACAAGTTCTGGAATCTGCTAGACGAAAAGACAGCTGAAGTACCGTTACAAGAAGCAGTAATTGTTACGGGTGACCTCAATAGTCATGTAGGTGCTTCTAAAGACGGTTATTGCTGTCATGGTGGTTTTGGATATGGGTCACGTAACACTGATGGCGAACGAATTCTTGTATATGCAGACTCGCATAATCTCGCCATTGTAAACACGAAATTCCGTAAACGTGACTCTCATCTCATCACCCTCTATAGCGGTTTTACAGAACACAAATTAATTTCGTCCTTGTCAGGCACCGCGATCAGGGGCTCGTAACAGACGCGATGGCACTACCTTATGAAACGGTCCCCACACAACATCGGCCACTGATTTGTACGCTAAAGATCGCCCCTCCAAAACCGAAATTTGCCGAAAGGTGTGGGCCAGCGAGAATGAAGTGGTGGAGACTGAAGAAAAAAGAAAAAGAATCGGCCGTCGTCTCCACATTCTATTACCGGCGGTAACGACTGTCTATAAAACTTGGGAGAGTGCTGCCGAAGACGGTGAGCGGTATGTTTACCGATTCGCAAAGACCCGCCATCGCCAGACCGAGAACATGTAAAAGTTCTTCGCTATAAATGACGAGAATGGCCACCTCCTGACGCGCCCCAAGCAAACACTGAAACGATGGCAAAAGTACTTCATCATAAAACATCTCGACAGTCGAATTCACTCATCCCGCCATCCCTTGCGCTCCGCCAGTATACGACCGCTATGAAGAGGATGAAATCAGGCAAAGCAACAAGTCCTGACGACGTAGCAGCGGACCTGTGGAAATTGAAATGCTGGAATCCTGCGGGGTGGTTGACGGACCTCTTCAACCAGGTCGTTTCAGAGAAGGAGGTGCTTGAGAGCTTGCAACAGTGCACGACGATTCCAATCTGGAAAAGGAGGGCAGTCCTGGAGACTGCGCTTGCTACCGTCCAATTCGCTTGCTCTCGCACAGCATGAAAGCCTTTGAGNCCCGCCATCGCCAGACCGAGAACATGTAAAAGTTCTTCGCTATAAATGACGAGAATGGAGACCTCCTGACGCGCCCCAAGCAAACACTGAAACGATGGCAAAAGTACTTCATCATAAAACATCTCGACAGTCGAATTCACTCATCCCGCCATCCCTTGTTCACGGACTTCTTCAACCAGGTCGTTGCAGAGAAGGTGTTTGAGAGCTAGCAACAGAGCACGACGATTCCTATCTGGGAAAAGGAGGACAGTCCTGGAGACTGCGCTTGCTACCGTCCAATTCGCTTGCTCTCGCGCAGCATGAGAGCCTTTGAGCAAATTGTGGACAGTCGTATCCGCGACATCGTCGAGCTGACCACCAACCAGTGTGGTTCTGTGTCTGGTTGCAGCACGTTGATGCCATACACGCCACTCGCCTTCTACCAGAAAAGCATCGCGAAAAACAAAGACCGGTACATCTTGCCTTTCTAGACTTGTTGAAGGCATCGATCGCGTTACGCGTGACCTTATATGGTATGCCTTACGACAGCATGGCATTTCGGAAGAGCTCACTGAGTGGGTGCGCATCCTTTACACTAGCCCAAAGTGCAAACGGCAGCGGGCACATCGGCGGATTTTTCCATCTCCGTCGGAGTGCACCAAGGCTTTGCATTATCCCCACTACTTTTTGTTGTCGTCAGGATGCCATTACAGAGGACACCCAGCAGCCGCCTCTATGGACGCTTCTTTATGCCGATGACGTGGCGCTCGCCAGCGAAAACAAAAGCGAGCTCAAGTCACAGGTGCAGACCTAATCCACATCTGGCTATGTTCGGGCTCAGGTTAAGCGTCAAAAAGACTGAGTACTTGACCACTGATTCGGGCGATCCAGATAAATGGCACCGACTTCACACGGTCAACAACCTTCAAGTACTATGGATCGGCAATTACGTCTGACGGTAACCTGGGTTTTGAAACAATTCTCGCGTGTATGCAGCGTGGTTGAAGTGGCGCTCAATGCCTGGCGTACTCTGTGAAAAGAAATCCCTGAGCGTCTCAAATCAGTAAGCGTACTCTGTGAAAAGAAATCCCTGAGCGTCTCAAATCAGTAATCCACAGAACCGTCATCCAGCCTGTCGCGATTTGCGGTGCTACGACCAAAAAATAGAAGCTCGTCTCAGTATGACGGAGACCGAGACGCTGCGCTGGACAACCGGAGTAACACGACTAGACTGCATAAGTAATTATATCTTCAGGGAGCGATTTAGTGTGGCGCCCTTCGTCGTTAAAGCGCGAAGCCCGTCTCCGTTGATATGGTCACGTTTGCCGGTGTTCATAAGAGT